ATCTCCTCCAGCTCCCTCGCACTCAGGACTCACTCCGCCGGCGACTGATTTGGTCGACAATCAGCGACTCACTCGGAAGGAAGAAGCAATGAGAGACAGGAGAAACAAAGCGGATATTTTGAGGATCAAAACTCAGAAATTTTGCAGCTGAATTGTCAGAACTCGGAAGGAAGAACACATATTGCAATGGAAAACCAGCTTATGCTAAATAATCTAGACTTAGACTAGGAAAATTGAAAAAGCTGAAGAGGCAAGACTCTAGACTCTTTTCGTTGCTTCTCTTGGTTTCAGACTGGGAGTCTGGGATACTGCCGACAGTCAGTGATTCACTCGCTTCCCGCTGCTGCCACCGGTGATATCGTTGTAAGGGTGACCGGGGAGCTGGTGGTGACTGTTTCCATAGTCACAATTGGATGGAGGGTGGTACTGGTAGTACATCCGAGCTGTCCCTCAACTGAGTATGAGAGTTTGGGGTCTGTTTCATTTTCTTGGGAAAGAAGATGATGAACAGTGATTAAGGGTAATTTTGACATTTTCAAGAGTTTAAAATTGCATATGAAGTCACGTGATATATATAATTGACGGTCCATTAATGGTAGATACTAGATTATCGTAAAATGAAAGTTTGGGTATTAGATTATCGCATTTTAAAGTTTGGGTACTAAATTGGCACTCGGCCTAAAATAGATGATACCTATGGAAAATTTTTCCTAATACTTAAGACCTATATTTTTGATAAATAAAAAATAAAATTATTCAATAATATATTACCAGTGAACATGATGAATGGGAAAATGGAAAAGGTTTTAGGGTTTAAACCTGCCTAAAATTACAATCTTAGATATGCAAAATACTTATACAAAATATGTAAAATATAATAAGTATATATATAACTGATTCAGGTCTAGCCGGTTTGGGACAGCCAAAACCGATATCGGACCAATAATAATTGGGACAGAAAAAAATTAGACTGAAACCGACATTGGAATGATTCATAGAACCAAATCCATTATAAATGGCTCAAACGGTTCGGGTCTGTCAGATAAACCCGACCATTGACAGGCCTAGTACAAAGGGTACCATAGGGGATTAGACATTATATCAGAGAGGTGCTTGAATTTAAAGCTTGCATATAAAGAATGGGTCAGTCTTGAAAACCAGACTGAACTGAACCCTCCCTCTTGCTTGCTGCAGACCAACTGCTTGTTCCGATTATGTTGGACAAAGTTGAAATTGGCATCGAATCAGAAAGGAAGACTCTCTTTAAAGGCCCCAACTGCAGGTCGTATTGGACCCAGATTGAATAAAGCCCACCCCAAAATTGACTTGACCAACCAAGGAAAAAACAAGGAAATTAAGAATAAGAAAAGAAGAATACGGGGCTATCTGTAGTCTATCAATAGAATTAATTTGAGCTGGATTTTGACCGGATTAGGCTGCATTCTCCGACCTTTCTACGTGGAAACAAATATATTTTGGTAAATTTGACAAGTCAAGATACCTCAAAATTCTTTTGCTTATTGTTGATGAAATGGTCTAACAGTCTGGTACAATCCGGAGAGTCTTGACAACTGACATCAATGATTCTTACAACCACAAAATTATCAGAATTAATTCTCTTCGATCATGTTAAATGTAAGTCTAAATCGTCTCCTAAACCAGTAAAATTAGTGATCAACCCAATTAGAAGTGTCAATTGGACTGGATTTGGTCTAACCCAATGCGAGTCCTTTATAAATGGATCAGGTCCAATCCAATCCAATGGATATTTTGGGTTATGTCTGGACCATCTTAATTCGTTCAAATATGTTTTAAGTTAGATTAATTCTAACCCAAACCTAATCCATTGACACCTATATTCTTAATTTCTTATAGTCTATTAATGGATCAGGTATTGTCTCAATCCAACCCAATCCAATATAAATTCATTATGGATGGACCAGGTCCAACCCAATCTAATTTAAATTCATTAAGTTTGGACTGGTTCAATTCATTATGTCTTGTTGGTCCCCCCAATTCATCCAATTTGATTTTGGTTTGGATTGGGTCAAATCCAAAACTGGTCCATTGACACCCCTAAACCAATAAACTTTTTGGGTCTTACAACACTATTATCATTTTCATCATCCAAGTCTTATCCCAACTATATGGGGTCAGGTTATATGAATCCTATTTCGCTATTTTATTATCTTTAAAGCCATATCCAATTCTACTTTGTTATATTAAGAGCGCTTAAATCATTTTATTTATTTCAGAACAAAAACAACTGCAAAATCAACCAAAAGGAAAATCCATGCACATATTGGGTGTTTACCTAATTGAGCTTCTTGGGCCAAAATTCTGCCCAATTATGTTTTTACTGCCCAATTATGTTTTCAACAGCCGGTTCCATTTTTCCCCAAAATCGTTGATTTTGGTCAGAAAACTGCTGAACCGACTGATTAACCATTCAAACCGTTTGAATGATTTTTGACCGTTTTTCAATTTTTTTATTTTTTTGTCAGAATGGACCTCTCATTCAAACCAGCATGGCTGTTCAGTTGCTCCACAGGTCTGATAATGCACAATCCCAGCATGACTGCACCGGCCCTGTGATCTACTTCAGAGACACTATAGCTGTCCTGATCAAGATGAATTCTCAAGGAAAACAAAGAGATTCCTCTAATCAAGCTGATTTTGAAATGCTCCATACGGGACACCAAGCAACACTCACATCCCCCAAAGGAGACAAAACAGAAGCAATGTCTTCTATTAATCCGTGATCTTAGATTTCTTTATTAGTCCCCCTCCCCCACAAAAGTTATTCAAACCACGTTGTAGCCTCCTCCATAAATAATCCTGTCCCGGCTTTTGGTAAAAAAAGGAGAACGCGACCCCAGAAGATTAAAATTCAATTATACCCTTCAATTGACCGGACCGGTTTGGTCCATAGAAATAGAAATAGGGGTCTAGAATTGGAATTTTAACTATTTGGTTGTTTAGAATTGAAATCTCATTCTTATTCATGGTGGAATGACATTTTTTTTATGTGAAGGAATAATCATTTCTTCTCCTTCCTTTAAAAATAAAATCCCATTCTAATTAAACAGATTATGAAAATAGACCATTCCGATTCTAATTATGAAGGATTTAGATTTTGATTCTAATTCTAACCGTAAATCAAACGTAAAAGGGTAGTAGAATAAGTAGTGTTACCTAAAAAGTAGAACTCCCAGTCCCAGTTCCATAGATTGGATTGGACCCAACCAGCTGATGACTTAATGGGCCCCCAGCCCCACCCCACCACCATTTCCTCCATTAAATGCAGACATGCCATAAAATTCATGGATATAACTGTAAAATCACACAAGGGCATGGGCAACTGTGCTTGAGGCAGCAACTCATTTGTTTATAACCATATAAAGGGTGAAGGGTGGGACCCTTTACCCCACTCCTTTCCAAACATTGTTGAACGCAAGCAACTTCACTTCATGGGATGCACTGCTGGGATAGTCCGTGAAGAAAAGATAACTACAGTTCTGTTCATTTCCTCAGCCAAGCTTTAGGCTTTAGGCCCCCCCTCCCCCTGACAGTTCTTTCTGTATGATGACTCTCTGTAAATGTAACATCAATAACTTTGTTGAATTCTTTCTTCATAAATCATCGAACAGAATACATATAAAAGAAAGAAAGGGAAAGATGTAGGGGACAGGAGGGTTCATTGAAATGGGCCCCATCGGTGAGCCCTTTAATATAGGATTCGATTTGATCCAGTGATCCTAGCCATCTGATCGACTGAACTCTCTGGTGGTCAAAGGAACCAACGCAGAGGATTCTAGAGTAAAGAAGTCAAGTCTATAATCAAATACCGTAACTCTTTGGCCTTTGTACTCTATTGCTGGACAAAATAGACTAGTTCCTTTGGAGACATTATCACGTGCAAGACCGTGGCGTTTTTAATGAGTCCATCCTTGTCCTATTGACTTGATCTTGATGGGATAATCACTAATCATCTCATCAGTGGATCACACAGTCAGTTTTGTAAAATAAAACATAAAATGGGTAACCGATCTCCAATCACCCTTGGCCCCACCTATGGCTATGGTAATTTGTTGAGATTTAATTGCCTAGGATGGTTAAATCTAAGGTGTTCCCAAGTGGGCCCACCATAACACATGACCCACATTTATTGTTGAAGTGGGTCTGTAAATGATACCCAAAATCCACGGTCCGATCTAATATCTAATTATATTGGCTATTGGAATGATATATTTATGTAATTGGGTCAATCAAAATTCAAAAGAATAGTGAATCATAAGTATATATATATATATATATATATATATATATATATATTAAATTAAGAATCCCAAAACCTAATACAAAATTAGGAATCCCTGAGTTAGACTGAACTTTAATTATTTTTTAAAATTGTAGTTTATATAATTATATTTAAAATTTAAATTTATATTGGAATTAATTTATTATATAAAAAGTTGAAAAATAATTAATTTTTTTTTGTATCTTAAAAATTAAAATGAAATCAAATTAAATCCGAATCTGATCTCATAGATATTGTTTGACACGTTTGTAGGTCAAATGAAGACTCATTAGATGAGAAAAAGTCTAAAATTCAGAAACCATGGGTTCTAAGATTTTGCTACCTGGCAAGTTAAGCAGATTAAACCAAGCCCATTACATGGCAATGGCAAGAGAAGTATATAGCAAATGAATGAAACGAGATGGGTGTTGGACACCTGGCAAGGTGGGGGGAATTTGGAATGGTCAAGCTATTGCTTGAATGGAATGTTGGATCGTGTAGGGAAGGGTTCTACACGACCTGTGCAGATAAATAAATGAGAATATTCTATTACCTAACAGGTTTACAGTATTTGTGAAGACTGAAGAGATGGTTGAAGGATAAAAGGAGACGGAAAGATATATTTTTTCGTAGACAGGAGAAGGAAAAAGGTAGAAGAAATCCATAAAGGTAAGAGAATGGAAAGCCAACAAAGCGAAGTGCTCAACTCTTGATTCTAGAGAGAGGAGAGAGGAGAGAGGATGTCTCGGAGTGATGGGTTATCTCGAATTATTTATTATTTATTATTTATTATTTATTTGCTTTGAGAGTATTTGACTGAAGGGAAGGCTGCCTGGGTCTGGGTCTGGGTCTGGCAAAGCCGTCTTCTTATTATAAATACCCGCGCAGAGGAAGAGAGAGAAAGTTGTTTTCTTTATTTGGTAAAATGTTGCTAATGAAATCTATCCGAGCCCTAGATCCATGGCTTTAATGGACTTGATGAGCTTTATCATGGCTTCGATGAGCTTGACCATCACCGAAGCCTAGCCATAGATCAGTATCTAGGGTTTCATTTCGTCTCATTTGTTGTTTACTGCTTCTACGAATTTCCAGTGTTTTGGCGTTAGAAATGTCTGAGGCAAGATATTGAATTTCTGATCCAGTTGCCATTCTTGGCATACTTTCTTCCAATTTATTGGTTCTGAATTAGAGGATTTGGTTTTGGGACTGGAGTGGTTGAATCTTGTGATTTGGTTGGATTCTTTTTAATGCTGGATTTTGATGGATGTCGAAGAGGAGGACTTCGCAGAGAGCCGAGCTCGCGGCTGTGGTGATCTGTGTTAGTGAAGGAGGCTTGCTTTGAAGTTGCTTTTCTGCACAATGGGCTGCATTTGTTTTAAAGCGTCTGCTATAGAAGATAGTAGAGAGAGTCCAAGAGAGAGGTTATCGAGTAAAGCGTCGTCGGATTTACGGGTGCCACGGGCGACCTCGTCCAGGAGAGAGGAAGTGTTTCGAGGGAAAGATAGAGTAGATAGTAGGGATGGAAGGGTTACGTTGATTGAAAAACAAGGAAATGGTTCGATTCGGTTGCATGGGGAGAATTTTGAGAAGAAGAGGGAGAAGGCTGAATATGTTGTTGTTCAACAGCCGGCTGTGGGCAGCATTCCGAAGGCAATGGAAGGGGAGCAGATTGCAGCGGGTTGGCCTCCTTGGCTTGCTGCGGTCGCTGGAGAAGCTATCAGGGGATGGGTACCACGGCGGGCAGAGTCATTTGAGAAACTTGATAAGGTATGCTTCTTTCTATTGCATGATTAATCTTGTCACCTGTTCCGAGTTTCAGTAATAATCAGATAGTTCAGCATTTCCTTGTTGAAGAAGATGCTTATGGTGAAGAAAAAACGCGACATTTTCCCATTCTCTTGCTTTACTGTCCTCCGATCAAATTATTACCATCGAAATGCTTTGGTTGCTTTATATATGGAACGTCAAATTGGGGAATTATGGCGTTTTGTGGTAAATTTTAAACACCCATAAGCCATTGGAAATTTTGGGATTTGTGGGTCAGGTAGAGATAACATGGATGTCCATGTGCACCCTAAGCGGTTCTGCTAGTCAAAGACAAAATGGCCTTGTTTCAACATTCTACGGGTCCATATCTAAGGATGAGTTTGTTCTATGGGCTTTCTAAGTTTTGTTCATTGAGAGTTTTTGCTTTAAACAATGAATTCGTTTGCACCGTCAATGCCCATCTTTAGTTTATGTGATTAGACTGAATTATTTTCTACATCATTAACGTGGCTGAATTGAAAATGCTTCAAGGTTTTTTCATTTCCTCCCGTTTGATTGAAAATAAGATGAAGATGAAGATGTAGAAAATAATTCAGCCACGTTGTTACCATACAACGCCCATCTTTAAACGGGAGAAATGCCCATAATCCTCTTATTGAGAAATGCTTCAAGGTTGTGATGAAGATGTGATAATCCTCATCACATAGGCTGAAAATGCCCATAATCCTCTTATTTGAAAATAAGATAGCAAGAATTGATAATCCTCCCGTTTGATTTTCTTATTTGAAGTCTTAGAAAAGATGAAGATGTCTCATTGTTGTTACCATACATATCTTTTTCTTGCTATCTGGTATTCATGCACCAATAATTGTGGTTGACAGGGTTTATGTATACTCCCTTTTTTTTTGACATCATGCCATTGATGTTAGGTGAGCTTCCTTGGGTAGGTTTTCATCACTGTCAGCGTGGCTTCTTATTATTATTTTCTCTTTTTGCAGATTGGCCAAGGAACTTATAGTAATGTTTACAGGGCTCGGGATCTTGATCAGGGAAAAATTGTTGCATTGAAGAAAGTACGATTTGATAACCTGGAGCCTGAAAGTGTTCGATTTATGGCTAGGGAAATCCACATTCTGCGTAGGCTTGATCATCCAAATATAATAAAATTGGAAGGATTGGTAACTTCGCGGATGTCTTGCAGCTTGTATCTTGTTTTTGAGTATATGGAGCATGATCTTGCAGGTCTTGCTTCATTTCCTGGTCTGAAGTTCACGGAACCACAGGTATTTAATTGCTAAATATTTTATGTTGATCAATATTGCTACAATTAACTGTCCCCCTCCCCCACCCAAAATGAAAAATAAGGATGGGTTTCTCCATAGTGATTATTAGATTGTATCTTTTATCCCTTAGCCCCTTTTATTGTTGGATCACCAATTTACCACCTAACATATTAAGGGGTGATTGCCAATATATGACAAAGCCATACACATTTGCAAACACTCCCTAAGCCTGTGTATTATGAAGACAATCTCTAAGGGTGTTATCTCTTTGTGGCAGATCAAGTGCTACATGCAGCAACTTCTACGTGGACTTGATCATTGCCATAGTCGTAGCATTTTGCATCGTGACATAAAGGGTTCAAATCTCCTAATTGACAATAATGGCATACTGAAGATTGCAGACTTTGGCTTGGCAAGTTTTTTTGATCCTCATCAAAATCATCCATTGACAAGCCGTGTTGTCACTCTTTGGTATCGACCACCAGAGCTTTTACTGGGAGCAACCCACTATGGAGTTGCTGTGGATCTGTGGAGTACTGGATGCATACTTGCAGAATTATATGCTGGCAAGCCTATCATGCCTGGAAGGACAGAGGTACCTGCTTGTCAACACTAGAATTGAAGCATCTTAATGTTTGTTATCTGTGGCGTAATGATAATGCAATGCATAGATAAACTCATGCAAAGTATAACTTTTAGCCCCTAGCCCCTTATCTTTTATTACACTACACGTCTTAATGTAAATGCAATCTGTGGATAAACTCATGGCTCCTTAACAATATGCGGACATGCTCATAGATTATATCTTTTAGCCCCTGGCTGCTTAACAAGTTGTTGATGTAGACAATATTTCAGCCTAATCACAATAAACTAAAGATGGTTATTGTATGATCATGCAATGTGTGGATAAATTCATGTAAATTATATGCTTCAGCAGTTCAGTCCCTAGCTAGGGATTAAGTTATATCTTTTAGCCCATAGTTACTTTTTATTGTTAGGCTTTTAACTTTAGTTAGCTATAAATGGCAGGGATATAATTTAAGCGACATATGGGCAAGAGCTTAGAAGCTAAACACTCCCATTGACCTAATACACTCCTGCTATAGCATTATTTACCTCGTGTGCAAAACAAAAGAAATGAATTGCATTTAACCCTCATTATGTTTTCCTATTTTGTATGGATATTTATTGTGAGAACTTCTATGCTTTGGCTAAGTTACAAAATTACTTGTTTTTTTGGCCCTTCTAGTTATAACTAATAAAGCTTGGTAGCCCATGGCTTGGATATATGTGATACTTTAAATGCTTGAAGTATCCTTTCTTAGCAGTTCGCCCTGGAGAAGATGACTCCACTTTATCTTGCCGTCTTCCTTTGTGCAGACGTTATTCAGAAACCTTTCCTTTTTTGTTCCTTTGACTTATGATTCCCAGTTAATCTTTGACAAATTAAATAGACTGTATTTTCTCAAATGTGCATGTCATCCTTTTGCAGTGGCGATGCTAATCTTCTCTGTTTTTCCAAGTTTAGCGGATGTATCTGAAGAGACAAATTAAATAGACTATATTTCTCTCATCTGCTTGTATTTCCTATATTTTCTCTTTCTTCCATTGTAGGTTTCATTGTACTGGCATGTAATGGCTTTTATCTGATTTAAGTTTGCAATTTTCTACTTGTAGGTGGAGCAGTTGCATAAGATTTTCAAGCTCTGTGGTTCACCATCTGAGGATTATTGGAGAAAAGCAAAATTACCACATGCAACCATTTTCAAACCACAACAACCTTATGAAAGATGTGTTGCAGGAACATTTAAAGACTTCCCTCCTGCGGCTTTAGGGCTTATGGAGACATTGCTTTCTATAGATCCTGCAGATCGTGGAACTGCAGCTTCTGCTCTCAAGAGTGAGGTATGAGGTTCTTCAGAATCTGGGCCTACGAAGTAGAAGTCTATGCTTTTACCCAAATAACATTTTTTCAGGTTTTTTTTTTTTTTTTAGTTTATTCTTTTCATTGTTGAGAAGGAGAATGTAAGTTAAATAACTGGCAACCTCCAAGGATCAATGGTAGTTTCTTCTATTTAGATTGAAAATGGTGTTGTTTTAGGTTTTTTGGGGCTGGGGAGGAAATGCAGCTAGTTATACTCTCATAGAAGCAAGTTTATTGATCTTCACTGGTTAAGATATAGCATATGTAGTCTGTTCATATTGTACTAGGTTTCCCCCCAATGATTGATGAAAGATAAATATAATTTCCAGTTCCAGACTTCCAGTAACTCATTCAGTTCATGGAGGGTGTGATTCCTATTTTGTACTGTGGTGAGAGCTTAGCTCTTTAACTCCTTAACTCAAGTACTGTGAGAATTCAGTGAAGGACACTAGGGCGTCTTTGACTTTCTTCTAAATATCTCTTCTGTTGCCTCTTCTAAACCATCTTCCATGTGGTAAAATCTACACATCTTAATGCACAGCATCACAGTGATTGATTTTGAGTATGTTGGGGTCAAAGTGTGTTTGGAGGGAAAGGCTATTCCTATTTTCTCGAATTTCACAAATTTTATTGGTTTGAGGAGAAATTGTCAGATTGCTGAATTTGACCTTGAAATCTTTATAGGTCAACTCAGACTTCTTAGATAGCTTCTCCTAGAGCTGCAATTAATTTCTTTTAGTCTCCTCTAGGCTCTCAGCTCAATGTGCACTTAGGACACTGCCATTTTTGGACCTGGAAGTATAAAAAGGCTGGTCATGGCAAGCCTTCTTCCATGTCTTCATATCTGAAGGTTAAAAAATTGAGCAGTTTAGTTTACTAAAGCCTTTTTGGGTTCAGTTCTCCATAAAAGCTACTCTTGATTTAAACCATTTAGATCACCTGACCTAACCCAGAAGCAAAATAAACAAGGAAGATGTGTCAGGTCATGAATTGGCACCTTTGTTAAGGACATGGGGCTCATGCTCAGGGGTACAAGAAGATGTGGCAACTGTCTTATCTTTCAGTCCTTATAGGGGTTGCTGGTCTTCTCAGGTTCCTGTAATTCCTGTAAAGGATTTTTGGGATTGTATTGATATTGCTTTTGCCCTTGTCGTCATATGTATCTCATCCGATAGTTTCAAATTTGGACAATCGGTTTATTTAATTGGATCTGATGTGTGTTTGATCTTATTCAATCCAATTAAGATCCAAGTGTGAATGTCTGATTAAATTTTATATAATTTGTATTTATGTATACACATATACATGAAAAGTATATATGGTTATATAACATTTAAATTTCCGCTGTACAGGGCCCTATTGTATTTTGGCCTTTTGATAGTAATAAAATGCTTGACATTACAGATTAAAAAACATTTAAATTAATAGGTTCAGTATTTTATGTTTATGTAATTTTATTCTATATGTTTAAGTTAAAAGTGGTTAACTTTTTAATTTTTTAAACTTATTTCTTTATTTTGAAAATAATGAAGATTAATCTGAAAATTGAGTTGGATAACCACATGGCAGAGTTGGAATTTCTACACTCACATCAAGTGATCTTTATGAGCATCCTTAATTCTCCAGAGCAGTTTCTTCTTGTAGGAAGTTTAAACCTTTTCTTTTTCCTATATATATATATATATATATATGAACATGAATTGGGTCCAGGAGTTGGCTCTCGTTTTCATTTCTGCCACAATCCAAAAGCATCTTAAGGAATTTTTTCTATATATTTGATCTTTTGAAGAAATTGCATGTAGAGACTGCTTTAATTTCATTGATAAAAAAAAAAGACTGCTTTAATTTCCATTCTGTTTTTAATCTTTTTCATTAAAGGTTTTTTTGGTATCAGCTATTTTATTTGTTGCAATAGAGCTACTCCTTCGATTATTCCATTTTGGGGTGGTGACTTTCTTGAACTCTTCTGAATTCACTCATTCTCTTTTTGCAGTTCTTCATAACGAAGCCACTTGCTTGTGATCCTTCAAGCTTGCCTAAGTATCCTCCCAGCAAGGAGTTTGATGCAAAAGTACGGGATGAAGAAGCTAGAAGGTGAATATTGTAACTTCATCTTTGCTCATGTTATTTAGACAGAAGACAAACAAGTATTTCTATGGTATCGTTGACTGATCAGCATGTACATTTAGTTGTGCATGCTATGCAGAGACCTTGTACTCTTTTTGAATTTTACTTATGGTATGGATGAACAAAAGATGCCCATGTTAGATCTTATTATTATAGCAGCACTAGGCAGTCATTTGCTGGGCTGATAGGCATTCAAGCTATTAATTAATGTACTTGGAGAAAAAATGGCAATTTCATGAAACAGCCACTATGTATTTTAGGCATTATTTAGGTCACTTTTGAAGTTATGTATTGGCACAGGTTTTTTTTTTTAATAGCTTCAATGGTTTCGATTATATATAAGTTGGACTTTTTCCTTGATGAACCAACAATGAACTAATAAATTATTATTTTTTTACTGCTGCTTCATATGTGCTTCTTAGTTCTTTTGGGGAGTGTTAGCTGAAGATAAGATTTTTTTTCTCTGACAATTGACATACTGATTATCTTCTCATTATTGATACTGATAGGCAAGGAGCAGCATGGGGTAAGGGCCAAAGGTCCGACCTAGAAAGGAAAGTCCCAAGAGAATCTAGAGCGGTTCCAGCACCTGATGCTAATGCAGAGTTGATATTGTCAATGCAGGTAAACTACAATGTCACAACCTCTTTGTATACAAAGTTCCACTTTATACTGTTCTCTCTCTCTCTTTTTTTTTTTTTTCTTTTTTTCGTTTTATATTCTTTTCAAGCATATTGGTGGGTATTAGTGCACACAACTTATTAAGTAAAACAATATATACTTTTTTAATGTCTTTTAACTGGGAGTTGGGCACATGTTCATTTTGGTCTAGAGAGCTTGAGGTTTATCAAACTGGGAATCATGCTCTAGAACATCAGTTAGCTGGTTCTCTTCCTTTCTATGTGGTTTTCCACATGACAAAAATAATGCATTGACTATTTCAATTTTCTTAGTGATTTTTAAGAATTGATTCTTTTATTTAGTTTATTATATAATATGATTAATCACTGTTACTCTTTTCTTTTACTGTCTCATTTTTCTTTTTACATTGTTGTTTCTTTGTTATTTCAGAAAAGACAAGGTCAGTCCAATTCCAAGAGTCGGAGTGAGATGTTCAACCATCATCAGGAAGAAGTTGCTTCTGGCTTTCCAATTGACCCACCTAGACAATCACAAGCCACAGAAGAAGTGAGAAAAGATGCTCAAGGACATTTCCATAAGAGAGCTTCACATTCAGGGCCATTGGTTCATCGTTCTGCTTGGGCAAAGGTTGGGAGACTGGATGATGCTCCAAAGGTTTCAAATGGGTCCGACTTATCAGCATTGTCTAGTTTAGTAGCAGCAAGGAACTTGTTGTCTGATGATCGTCGGGAAAAATCTGGTCCTTCACAGTCAGAGATGACAAGTCTACTGAGCAGGCTTCCTGGTTCATTCAATGAGGCCTCTGAATCTAACAGAAAGCAGGATCGAAAACATCATGCCCAGGTTCTTGTAGGCTCTCATCAGAAAGAAGATGAGAGGACCAGCAACAAGGAAAAAATTCTGGTAAGAATCAAAATTAATTGTTATTACAAACTTTCTTATCAAAATCTTTGAGAATTGGAAATTTACAAATATTGGCTATAAAAATTGATTAAAAATGGCTGCAAAAAGGTTACTTAATGCGTAGGTAATGCTAGCCAAACAGGTTTAACATTCCCAACCATCCAAGTAATCATTCTGAGCATTAAAACCTTTTTACTTTTGAACATGCTCATAGTGGGCCAATTGGATGGTGGGTTGGTGGTTCCTCAAATGTTAACATTGTGACAGGTGGTGGCTCAAACCTGTCTGCTCTGGGTTGTTTAGGCCAAGAACCAGGTTGCACCAATATTATCAATCAAATAAAAAAGGACTTCTGACAGCATTTTAGGCTGCATTTGGCATTCCTTATTTTAGGAAACAAGTCCTTAACACAAGGAATGCCAAATGCAACCTTTAGGGATCTATAGTGCTGGGTGACTCGATTGTCTTGATTTCCTTGTTAGGTTTAATGATCCACATGGTTATCCTATGGATCTTATTATTGGTCCTGTTCGAATTTGGATTAAGTGCATAAGTTGCATTGTACAAGCTCATGTGCATGCGAATTTATTGTTTGCATCCATTCGTTGAAATAGATATGGTACTTGATAGAATGGTATGGTGGAACAGGTTCCATTAATTTGTATTCTGCTGAAGTTCAAGCTCATTTGTTTTGATTTAATTTTTTTTCCCTCAGCAGGGTTATGGATCTAAGGGTCACAAGATTCACTACTCTGGCCCACTATTGCTTCCATCAGACAATGTGGACCAGATGCTGAAAGATCATGATCGCCAGCTTCAAGAAGTAGTTCGGCGAAAAAAGCTAGACAAGGCAAAACTTAGGAAACTTCAGGCTGCAGGTAACCCAATATTTGGCAATCCGATGTCTACCTCTGGCTATTATGCCGTATAAGACAGGTCTAGTGCGGTAGTGCACCAACCAGAAGATTTTTCCTTTGAAGGAGAGCGAGAACACAGAAAAAAATGTCGAGTGGTGGCCAACTCCCTTTGTGGAGTTATATAAGCAGGCGTTGGGGGGGGTTATGTATAGGAGATGATGATGATGATGATAGAATTTTGGCCTCTTGGCCCAATTCATAGTTTGTCTCAAATGTATCACTTCTACTCATTCTTACAACCCTGTTTTAAAACATGATGATGTTTTTACATGTTACCATACACGACAGAATTCTTGCAAAAATAGTGCTGTAATATTATGCTCCTACTCCACTCAAGGGTTTCCTGTTGTCTAAATACGTCTTGGATCTTTTGCTTGCAAGTTGCAACAATAATCTTTAAATACATACGTGGTCATGTGGAATGAAATGATATCATTAGCATTTTGGAATACATCATACTCATAAAGAATGTATTCGTTTCCAACTTCCATAACTGGAACAAATTCATATATATATATATATATATATATATACTTGTAAAAGTGCAACGAGGAGGTAATGGATTCTGGAACTTTTCTTTACTGAAATACCCATTCTCTTGAATTTATTTCATCTTCATTGAAAGGGCAGAAAAAAATAATTAAAAGAATACCATTAAGTACATTTAATTATCTCTCACTAAGTCTCACATTTAAGTTATAAATAAATCACATTTTCTCTCAATGAATCCAACATTTATACTTTTGTTTATCATCATTAAATTCCATTAATAAATTTATACACAATAATTATTAATAAAATAAAATTTTATATTTTTAAAATAAATATAGAAATGAAATCATATGTTTCATCTAAATGGTGGGTAAGTAGTTCAACCATTTGGGTCAAATGGATAATTTCATGATGTTATAAATAAATAATATAAATTTAGAAATATAAAAAATATAAATAAAAGAAATTTTGAAAAAAATCGACACGTTTCTATTATTATATATTTGTCATATTAAAAAACAACTATGATAAAATAGACATAATTTTATTAATGATGGACATCAAACATACAACTTAAAACCGATTTGAAATTAAATCATCTTCCTATATCTAGGGGGTGGGTTAGTGGTTCAACCTTTCAGGTCAAACCCATGATGTATAAGTATGATAAATAATAATTATTTTATCAATGACATAAATGAAATGCAAAATTAAAACCAGTTTGAAAATGAAACCATTTCCATATTTAGATAATAGGTAGGTCAATGATCTAACATTCCGGATCAAATGGGTCAATCTATGATGTCATAACTAAGTAACAAATATTAAATACACATGTGCACGCACACACACACATATAAACTCAAAGAAAAATATAAGCTTTGTATAAAGCATTTCAATACAATTATATTGTTATATATTCACCATATTAAACAAAAATAAATGTAAAAATAAGAATTACTTTTATCGATGATGAAAATGGAATACATGATTTAAAATCAACTAAAAAAGCAAAACGGTTTTTCCATCCAAGTGGTGGGTTAGTGGATAAACTATCCATATCAAATGGATGTTATTATTAATAATAAAATACATAAAATTCTAGAAAATATAGAATTTTGTCAATAATTTTGGGTACATTTTATAATATTATATATTCATCATATAAAAAGGTGTGATTAATGAAAATTATTTTCATTAATGATAGAATTGGGATAAAAATTAGGATAAAAAATAAAGAGCACTAATGTCTAACACATGACCCGACTAACCATGTCAAACGGTTCAATAATTTAATTAGCTAGGTCATCATAGGCAAGTGATTTGGTAGGGATGCAAATAGACCAGATCAGATTTGAATTAGGGTATATTCAAATCTGATCTAATCCAAAGATTCGACCAGATCTCATAAATATTGATACGAATCCAATTTAATTTAAAAAGTAATAAATTATTAAAAGAAAAAAAATATAATAGTTGAAATAAAAAACAAAAATATAAGTATTTTCTCAACTATTTCCATCATATAAAAAGTTTACAAAAATGCAATATAAATAACATATTTATAAATAAATAATAAATAACATATATATATATATATAATTGATTTGACCACAATATTAAAAACCAATATTCAAACAAGCTATTGGAATTGCATTTTCTCTTGGTAAATAAGTAATTTTTATTATCTCATAAATTAAATAATAAAAAATAAAAATATAGAATTTTTTTATAAATTTTATAGAAAATTTGAAAATGAATTAATATTACATATTCTTCATATTAAACAAAAACATGTTTGAAAAATAAGAATTATTGTTAGTAAAAATAGAAATAACTAAAACACAAAGAAAAAATGAATTAATATCTTAATCATATTCCATTTTTCTGGTTAAACAGGTTAACAGTTCAACTAGTAAGGTCCTTTCTTGGATAAAAAAAAACAGTAAGGTCCTTTGGTTACTGATTATCATCATCATCATCATTTGATACTACCACGTGCAAAAGTAAATGCGAAAATAATAATTACTTTTATTGATGATGAAAATGTAGTACATGATTTAAAATCAACTGAAAAAGAAAAAAATGGTTTTTCCATCCAAGTGGTGGGTTAGTGGTTCAACTACCCATATCAAATGGATGTTTTTATTAAACAATAAAATGCATAAAATTCTAGAAAATAGAAATTTGTAGATAATTTTGGGTACATTCTATAATATTATATATTTATCATATAAAAAAATGTGATTAATGAGAACTATTTTCATTAATGATAGAATGGGATAAAATTTAGGATAAAAAATAAAGAGCATTAATGTCTAACACATGACCCTACTAACCATGTCAAATGGTTCAATGATTTAATTAGATAGGTCATTGTAGGCAAGTGGTTTGGTAGGGACGCAAACAGATAAGATCAGATTTGAATAAGGGTATATTTGAATTTGATTCGACTTGAAGATTTGATTGGATCTCATAAATATTAATTCAAATCTGAATCCGATCAAGATGTTGGATATCCGAATCTTATACGATTTGATTTAATTTAAAAATAATAATAAATTATTAAAAGGAAAAGAAAATATAATAGTTGAAATAAAGAAAAAGTATTTTTCAACTATTTTCATCATATACGAAGTTTACAAAAATGCAAAATAAATAACATATTTATAAATAATAATAAATAATACATAATATATAAATGATATATATATATATATATATATATATATATGAGTTGACCACAATATTAAAAACCAATATTCAAACAATATATTGGAATTGCATTTTCTTTTCGTAAATAAGTAATTTTTATTATCTCATAAATTAAATAATAAAAAATAAAAATATAGAATTTTTTATAAATTTTATAGAAAAATGGCTAAACTAAGAATATGTTTGAAAAATAAGAATTATTGTTAGTAAAAATAGAAATGGCTAAAATACAAAGAAAAAAATAAATTAATGTCTTAATCATAGTTCATTTTCCTAGTTAAATAGGTTAATGGTTCAACAAGTAAGGTCATTTGGTTGCTAACTATTATCATCATCATTTGATATTGCCACGTACAACGCACGTACACTTTTACTAGTAATTTATAAAGCCACAATTGCTTGGATTTCCATACTAAAAATTAAATTGCATTTCACGTGTTGTCCAAACTCCAAACTATGCTAATTGGTGTGTCAGTGGGTGGTCTTCATGTTCTCTAGAGGTTGAACAGATTTCCCTTTTGTAGTAATCTTCAAGTATTACTAACTTTTCCATTCAAATTCCAATGCAAAATACTCTAATGAGTGCATCCTTTGCACCACTCTATCCAAAATAGTGTGATACGAGCCATACAACCAATGATTACATTTAGGGGTGAGCAAGAAACACCAAAAATTGAACCCAATCGGAAATTCGGTTACTGAATCGGTTGGTTTGGTTTCGGTTAAGCAAAATAGAAAACCGACGGTTGATCGAACTGATTGATATATATATATATATATATTACGTATATTTGTGTATATTATATGTATTTTTTATATATTATAAAGTAATAAATATGCATTATTTAAATATACATTTATAATATGTTATTTATTAATTAAAATATTAATATATATATAAATATAAAAAATCGATGAACTAAACTGGCCAATTGGTTAATCGATTGGCTTCAGTTCGGTTGGAAAACCAGTAACCCTAGTTTGGTTTCAAAAATAGGCCCATGGTTTGATTAACTATGAGTAGATCATTCAAGCAAGAGGGAACTAATTACTAATTTACCATGAGTGCAATTTGGGTGGGCCATTAGGTAGTCTAAGCCTAGTCCGATTATATATTTGTATATCTGCATGTACATACATCTATATATGTATTTTCTTTTTCAATAATTATATATGCATGTATGTATGTATGTATGTATGTATGTATGTATGTATGTATGTATGTATGTATGTATGTATGTATGTATGTATGTATGTATGTATNATGTATGTATGTATGTATGTATGTATGTATGTATGTATGTATGTATGTATGTATGTATGTATGTATGTATGTATGTATGTATGTATGTATACACATAAATGTTTGTCAATTTTTATTTTAAGCTGATTGACTAACCCGAGCCTGTCGACTGAGTGTATCAAATTTTAGTGTGGTCTGAACTTGGATTAAATAGTTCAAGCTTGAACTTGGGCTTGGGCCTTAGACCCTAACCCAATTCTTGGGGTTAGGTCTGGGTTGAGCTAAAACCTGGCCAAGCCCACCCAACTTGCACCCCAACTAATTGCATTCAGGAAGGGAACATGTTGCCCTCTATTCATCAATCCCTTTATAAGCCAGATGATGAACTTATTCATAAAATTGTCAAGTTATTCTCGCAGAAAGAAGAAGAAGAAGAAGAAGAAGAAGAAACTTTTTAATCTTTATATACAAATACAAATGAACAATGTATTTGAGTCAACAATCCTTTGGACAAAGACTACACAATTAACAACAATTTGTCAATTGGTCGCGTTTAATTTTTGATGAAGGGTGATTTGGCCCGACTTAGCAAAAAGGGGACACGTGGACACAAACTGAGTAAGAGATGACAGCTCAGCCTAGCCAGATTAGTTCACAACAATTGAGCTCGGATGTTCAATCACCTCGGCACAGGGTCACCTCAATGCAAGGTCACCGTGGCGCATAGTCACCTCGGAATCAAGGCACCTCGGGACTCAATCCAATTCGGAACTAAAAAGACTGAAGTATCAGCTTGGGGCTACCGACCTGGGCCATCACGTAATGATCCCGGAAGTCTCTCCAACAGACTCCGAACCTCATGGGATCACGCCATGTAATGGCAAGCTTATCTTCTCCCTGCCCGG